TGGCGTGCCCGAGCATTGTTAATGCGAAAGCATTGGGTAAGTGTCTGATAGTAACTTCCACCATAGCTCACAAAGCCGTTCCTTTTCTCCTCTCTTTGCAGGGCTGGCTGTTGCTAAAGCCTCTAAAATGTGAGAATGAGCGTCAGCTCTGTAACTATTTTATCAACGCTCTGGTAAGAACTTTTTACACGAGCTAGCGAGCGAGCGAGAGAGGTAGAAGCTTTCTTAGCTTCGTCGCATCACACAGGATAAGTAGTGCTCTCCAAGTTATCGTTGTATGCCTCGTTTTTCAGATACAGATAGACGCGAGGATGATCCACGTCCAGGAAAGTCTCGGTGGTGTTTTGTACGGGACAGATATCCACCGCGATACAAACGTCGGCTCCTCCAAAAACGAAAGCTACTCCGCCAGCGACAGCTCCAGCAGTTCTAAATCTCGGCGTTGGGATCATAGCTTTTTGGACCCAAGTTTGATCGTCTCCATAGAACACCTTGGGAGCGAAAAAGATCATCCAAGCCAAGCTCGAGAAAACGTAGAGAACTTCCAAAGTTACCTCGTTTACGTGCTTGGGATACTTGAAAATATCCTTGTCGCGGTAATGGCCCTCGCCTCCAACGATCATAAGTTTGTTCCCGGGAAGAACCAACGCAGCCTAGTGCAAAAGTTACTTTTTCAAGTAAAAATGACATAGTAACGTACTGCGTCACCACGGGGTGTTAACATGTCTGGTCGTTTTGTCCACTGCCCAGTGGTAGGATTAAACGATTCCATTGCGGCTAAAAACGCATTGCCACCTTTGTTCGTGGGATCCTTGATGGAACAAAAGTAAAAAACTTGAAAGTAAAAACTTTGAGAGGTTTGATCAAACTTACATAGTAGCCTCCAAGAACGTAGAGTTCGTTCATGAAACTTACGCACATAAGATCTCCTCGTGGCGTTGGCATGTTTGGAACCTTGGACCATTGGTTCTTGGCGGGATCATAAACTTCCACGCTGTTTAGAAAGTTGTAATCGAATCCATAGCCTCCAGCAACATAAATCTGCGTTGACATTGGAATTAAAATAATATTGAAAATATATAAAAATTTAGAACAATATACAAACCTTGCCATTGACACTGGCAGCGCAAGTATCTCCATGGAAATCGATCTGATCGGCTCCACGGCTCCATTCATTCTTAGCGATGTCGTAAATAAGCGTGGATTTCACCAGAGCAATATTTTCTGGACTTGAGCTATTTCTTCCCCCAACAATGTAAATTTTCTCTGTATGTCACAATGAAAAAAAACCAAAGCAAAACACCACCTATCAAACTTAATCTCCAATAGCTTAGAGCACCTCTTACTATCAAGCAAAGCCGCCCCAAACCGATAACGAGGCTCAGGCATTGACGCCACCTTTGTGTAGTTTCGAAACACCGCATCATACTTCCAAACATCGCTGGTCACATTTCCATCTATGAGAGATCCTCCAATTATAAAGATGAGCTCGTCTGGATCCACTCCAATAGCTGCGTGATCGGCCAAATTATCTGTAGAAAAACGAGAATGAGAAAGACAATCGCAACTAGCCGAGATGGTGTCCGAGATCTTCTTGGGTGAGAGAGAGAGAGAGAGAGAGAGAGAGAGAGAGAGAGATCATCTTACATGGTAACCTCGGTTTCATGGCCCAGAATCCACTCCCTCGAAACAAGCTCCCGCCATAGGTGAGGCCATTCAAGTTCTTCCTTCCAGTTCTCGACGCAAAGGCGACGTTGGGATTGGAAATCAGACCTTGGCGATCGTCCAGGCTCGAGATCTTGGTGCCCTGCGAGCCAGCGATGGCGGCCACGATCACTGCTAGTGCCAGGAAGGCGGCGCTGAGGCCTAGCAGCGCCCGCCGGAGCCTAACACTGGAGCGCCGCAAGCGCTTGAGCTCGAACTGGATGGCGACAATTGGGTCGCGATGATCGAGAGGAAGGGGAGGAGGATCATCTTTGTTGATCATACTGTTCATCCAAGAGAGAGAGAGAGAGAGAGAGAGAGAGAGAGAGAGGAAGAGAGGGCAATTGGAGAGGATTTAGTGATTTAGTCCGGATTGAAATCTAGAAAACTTTGTGGAGCTTGCAAGAACGAAATCAAAGAAGTGGATTGTGGAAAGAGACAAAGAAAAAAGTTGGGATTTTGCTGCTCCTGCGGCAGAGGTCGTGGGTCATCGCCGAGAAACCATTTG